TGCAGGACGGTGACTGGAACCGCCAGGCCTCATGGGGTCGGGAATCGGCGGTCCCTTCCCATCTCCCCACCTTCCAGGGTCCTGGCTGTCACGCCCACGAACGGCCCCCAGGTGCCATTTAAGCACATTAATGACCACAATCCAGAGACTCACAAATGAATCTCCGAACCGAGTGGTTCCTGCAAAGATGTCCCCAGGCCCTAATTATTCTAATTTTTAGAATTCCAGGAAAGTGTGATCACAAAGCAGCTGCGCAATATCTCATATGATTTTTTCTTTTCTTTTTTCTTTTTTGTTGAGTCACTGTGAGATAGACACTTACAGACATTTTATACTATTTATAACAAGCAATACAAAATAAATGATCTAGCATCTGCCTGTGGGGCAGGCTTGTTTGAGTGGTGGTGGAAAACTTAGAAATAATGGTGGTGGGATTGGTATTGAAATATTGAATGTAATCAACTATTGTGAACAACTCTATGAAAATCAAATTTAAAAATACTTAGTATCACATAAGTTATATATTTAAGTTCCAGAAGAATCTATTTTTTCTCTTACCAGAATATAATTGACTATTGACTATGCTAAAAATTCTATATTTTACCTGTGAGAAATCTATTATTAAGGGACAAAGACTACACTTTACCTGTACGAGTGATACCTATGAAATTCTTCAAGGAAGACAGCTCTTTAGATGTTTATAAGATGTCTTTTTGTTTGTTTCTTTGTTTGTTTTGGGGGTTTGTTTGTTTATTTTGGGTTTATGGCCATACCTGGTGATGCTCAGAGGTTACTCATGGCTCTGCACTCAGGAATTGATCCTGGCAGGGCTCAGAGGACCATATGCAGTGCCCTACCTACTGTCCTATTGCTCTGCCCCCTAGGAAACGTCTCTTTAGTTTTCAGATCACGGCTGGTGGTGCTAAGCACTGACTCCAGCGCTTGGGGGTCACTCCTGGTGGAGTTCCGGCCACCGTGAGATGCAGAGGCGAGAACCTGGACTTCCTCAGGCGAGGCTTGCGTGCATCTATGGAGCTATCACTCCAGCCTGGAAAGCATTTGTTCAGGGGGCCAGGTGACACCGTCAGAGTAGCAGGGAGCGAGAGAGCAGCTGGTGGTCCCAGCAGGGACCCTCCCTAGGGTGTCACCGCTTCTGAAAGTGCCGTCATCTGTGGAGGACAGAGGGGCACGAGCTGGAAAGAGAAGGGCAGGCAGTCAGGAGCATGTGTACATGGCCATTGGCGTTCCGCACGTCGGGTGAGCAGGCGCTGGCCGTCTTTGCTCCAGGCTCCCGTTCCAATCACACTGGCTCTGCAAACCACCTGGGAAGAGAGAGACCGGGGCCCCCTCTGGAGCACGGCACAGATTTCTTTTTTTTTTCACCAAAATTGCTTTATTCTTTATATATATATTGAATCACTGTGGGAAAAGTTACAAAGCTTTCAGGTTTAAGTCTCAGTAATGCAATCATCAAACACATTTCCCTTCACCAGTACTTATTTTTCACCACCAAGAACCCCAATATACCCCCGTCCCATTTTCCCAATGCCTGTGAGGCAGATGAATTCTACTTAACACTCTATCTACTTTGATTATATTCATTATTTCGACAAAAAATGCACCATTATTGTTTAGAGTTTACACCCAACAATCAGAACTGCTGAAAAGGCATTGTGAAATAATTTGTTTTCTACAGTTAGTTATGAGAACCATATGATGAACTTAAGTTAAGTCTGGAGATATTTCTGCCAAGAGCCAGATAATTACGAGATTGGTTTCTGTGGCTCTGGAGCCATGGCCGTGCTGGAGAGCCGCTCGTGAGGGGCAACTCCTAACCTTGGTAGGGCGTGAAGGATGAGCCGGGAACGCCCCCCTTCCCAGGAGGTTTCAGTTGCCCTGTCACCGCCGGCTCATACCTGGCTTTCCAAAAAGCTCCAAGGAGGCCACTATCTTGCTGCCCAGGGGGAAAAAGGCACAAGGAAGCGACACCCCTTCCCTCCCGGGCAGGCATGGTACCATGGACGGCACAGATTTCTTCCATGGTGTCCGGGCGTCCCTGCTGTCCTTCCCCTACACCAAGGCAGAGTCCAGGGCGCTGCTCATTCTGGAAGTCCGGGATCTCTGCAGGGCCGTTTTTCAGAGACCTCACATATCACGGCCCCTGTGTCTCATTGGCTCCCAAGTGTGTCAGATCCCAGAGCTTCACAGTGAAAGGCAAGCCGGGGGCATCTCCAGTGCCCTGAGGAGAACGGCTCCAGGCTCTGGAAGGCCTGCACGCGAGGGGGCAGGGACAGAGCTCTGCTGGGTGGGCTCCCTCCTCCGGGGAGGCCGGCCCCTTTCCTACAAAACACGGGGGATGAATAACCCAAGCTGGGGGAGCCCGGAACAAGGCTTGTGTGAGACCCTGGCTAACAGAGACAGTGGGAATCGGGGGCATTGCCCAACACCCTGCCCTGTTGTGAAACCATCTGTGCGGGCGTTGCTTGTGGTGCCTCCGGAGAGTTAGAGGAAGTGCACCTCGGTGTCCAGACCCAGGAGGAAGGCCACTGACTAGCTGGCCTCCCTTAGGCATTAAAGGAGGCTGCGGTCCAGGGAGAGAGCGGCTGGGGCTGTGCAGCAGAGGGCAGGGAGGGGCCCTCCAGCCGCCCCATCCAGACCCATCCTTCCACTCCTGCCTGTACTGGGGTCCGCAGCCTGCAGAGAAGGGGCTTGTCCCGGGTCTGCGGCCAGAGGGACTGGACAGTCCCCTCGGAATTCTTTGTTCTTTAACTAGGAAAGATGAGTGGTCACAGGGGACTTAGACGGGTATGCACAGACCACTGGGGGCCCAAGCACAGAGAGGGGCCCAGAGGATCCCTCTTCCAAAGTGACCCCCGTGGAGGGGACCAGAGCACAGTGCTCACTCCTGAGGTTCCACTGTGGCCCTTGGCTGCAAGGGGTTTTCCCCACCAATACCTCCCAACAGATCCCTCTGGATCATCAAGACTTTCATCTGGGGTGGGGAGGAGGGCAGAAAGATAGTACAGCAGGTGCTTGGCTGCCCAGGGTTCAATCCCCAGCATCCCCTGTGGTCCTCTGAGCACCGCCAGGAGTGGGCCCCCCAGACCAAAAGCAAACTAAATTATGAGTTTTACTGTTATTGTTAGACTGTAGTTGAGGTCATGATGATGTTGACAGTAATGCTGTAAGTGGAGTCACTGCTTGCTTCTTCGCCAGCAAAGTGGCAGCGGCCCTCACCAATGTCCCTCTGTGCCCACTCCACCCCTCCCCCACTGCCCTGCGACTCAGTGCCACAAAGTTCAAGGGCTTGTAATCCTCGACAGGTGCTCTAGGCCCACCCTGTCATAGCCAAAGGCCCAATTTCACCTTGTCTCAGCTGCACCATGTCTGTGAGCCATGGCTCCGACCTACTCCCCTGCTGCGGGACATTTGGCTGGTTCCGGCCGTGGCCACTGCCCACAGCTCTGCAGACAGGTGTGACAGGGCTGCCTTTCTAGTACACGGTCCTCTCACCCACACTCTTGCTACTCGCCCTTGTCGTGTGGGCTGTCCCCATGGATGTGAGCTATTATCTCACTGTCACTGGGATCTGCATTTCCCTGTCAGAGACAAAAGAGCACTTTCTTGGAAGCCCGGAAACCAATTGTGTGTTCACCCCCAAGAAGTGTCTCGTCAGCAACTCTGCATTTTTTTCTGTTGCTTTTTTAAAAAAAAAAAAAATTATTTATTTTTTTAATTGAATCACTGTGAGATACACAGTGATAAAGTTGTGATTGGGTTTCAGTCATATAATGTTCCAACACCTGTCCCTTCACCAGTGCACGTTCCCCACCACTAATGTCCCAGTTTCCCTCCTGCGTGTGTGGCAGGCCCGTTCTCTGTCTGTCTCTGTCTCTGTCTCTGTCTCTCTCTTTCTCTCTCTCCCTCCTCTTGGGCATTATGGCTTGAAATACAGATACTAGGGGAAGTGTGTATCCCTTCCCCCACTCTTTCAGCACTCAGTTCTTGTCCAGAGTGATCATATCCAGCTATGACTGTCATACTGGTCCCTTCTCTATCCTAACTGCTGTAGTCAGCCCGCATGTTTGCATTGTTCACGGGACAGCTGGCTTTGTTGTCGAATTTTGTCTCATCCACTCTGACTGGCCTTCCAAGGAGGAAGCCGAGAACCTGCCAAGCACCTGGGAATTCCCTACTTCGTGATGTTTCCTGGAGAATCGGCCGGTATTGTCAAGGCTCTGCCCTTGGCTCTCAGAGAGCACAATCTGGAAGAGGGAACCCTTTTCTGGTTCATAAGCATGATAATTGGGTGTTCACAGTTTGTGTGATGTGACGTGTGCCTTTTTTTTTTTAATTTATTTGTGTTTTGGGTCACACCCGGTGATGCACAGGGGTTACTCCTGGTTCATGCACTCAGGAATTACTCCTGGCCGTGCTCGGGGGACCATATGGGATGCTGGGAATCAAACCTGGGTCAGCCGCGTGCAAGGCAAACACTCTACCCGCTGTACTATCGCTCCAGCCCTGACATGTGCCTTTTAAATCTTGTTATGCACTTGGCACATTACCCATCTAACATGAAAAAATAAAAGAAAGAAAAAAAACTGGAGGAGGGTGAGTGACAGCTGAGCGGTGGGGGGGCTGCTGGCGTGAGGAGGAAACACCAGCTTCATTGGGGGTACAGCCGTAGCTGTGGCCCCCACCTTAACCTGGCCGGGGCCTGGAGGAAGGTGGAAGCTGCCAGAGGCGCTGAGAAGTGGGGGGCTGCAGGAAGCCCACGGGGACCGTGTGTGGAAAGAGGCCGAGTCACTCCGTCCGGAAGCTCCCAGCTCAGCCCTTGCTGCCAAGTGCTTTCTAAAGTTCTGGCCCAACTTTTCAAAACTCTCCAGACTTTCTCAATCCGCCTCGGGGGCCCCTACGCCCCTCCCTGACACGCCCCAGCCAGTCGGTTCCTTCATTGGCACACAGTTCCCGCAAACAGGCGGGCACGTGGGGCCGGAGGATAAAGAGGGCAGGCTGTGGAGGGCCCGGGGCATCAGGCGCACAGAGAGGACAGGCCGGGATGACTCCGAAGACGGTGCTCACAGGTCATGGACTGGCCACGGGGGAGACCAGGCTGGGGGCTGGACAGTTCACAGAGTTGTTGCATAGAGGGACCCCGGCCTCCTACGTGCCAGGGGGCTGCAGAGGGACCGGGAAGAGATGCCAGGAAGGGATGGAGGAGCCCAGTGGTCCCCTGGGTTTGCTTGGAGGGGGCGGGGAGGGAGAGGGGAACCTGAGACCTCACCCTGACTTTCTCCTCAGGCTTCGCTGTCCTGGTGCTGCTGCAGAGCTGTGAGTAACCCCAGGGTTAGAGCCAGGCGGGGGGCAGGGCGGGGTCTGGGCCCCTGGGCCCCCGGGAGTCCTCTCTTCACTTTCTTCCGTATGCAGATGTGTTTGTTGCGTGTCTCAGCTCCCTGCCTTCCTGGCTGCACATTTTAAATAGAAGATGCAGATTCTGCCGTGCTGCAGGGCTTCAGCTCGCGGGGCGCACCCCACAGGGTCCCGGGGCAGGAGGGAGAGCCCTGAGCAGGCAGGGAAGAGCCTCTAGGCAGCTCCGGGAGCAGCCAGAGAACCTGTGGTTGGGGAGGGTGGGGCTGGCCAGAGAGCCTGCAGGGCAGGCAGTTTAGGTGAACTCGGACCAGCTGCAGATGTGGGCTCTCCCATCAGAGGGGTGGGTCTGAGCCTCTGAGACAGACATGCCCACATCAGGTGTCCCCACGCCCTCACATCTACTGACCCCAGCTGCCTCTGAGAGGTACTTCCTCTCCAAAGCCACTGCCTCCAGGAAGTCCTCTTGTACTAAGTCCGTTCACCTGCTCCTCCCTACACAGTGCAGGGGCCTGTTCTTGGTCTGCCCTCTGGGTTTGGTCTGCTCTAAGCACCTCCCAGACCTCTCCCTTCCCTTCCCTCAGAGCACTGTAGGATTTGTTTTGTTCTGTTTCTTTTTGGGTCACACCTGGCGATGCACAGGGGTTACTCCTGGCTCTGCAATCAGGAATCACTCTTGGCAGTGCTCGGGGGGACCGTATGGGATGTTGGGAATCGAACCCGAGTTGGCCACATGCAAGGCAAACACCCTACCTGCTGTGCTCCAGCCCCTTATTTGTTTTTTTAAATGCTGGAGCTCGAACCCTGGACTTCCGAAACTTCAGACACTTCAGACCCTGGCGTGGGCTCAGGGTCCCCCCAGGGTCGCCCTGCCCCAGCCCTGACCTCTCTCTCAGGCTCTGCATACAAACTGGTCTGCTACTACACCAACTGGTCCCAGTACCGGCGTGGAGAGGGGAGCTTCCTCCCGGACGCCATCGACCCCTCCCTCTGCACCCACGTCATCTACAGCTTCGCCAACATCAGCAACAACGAGATCGACATCTGGGAGTGGAATGACGAGACGCTCTACGAGTCTCTGAACCGGCTCAAGGCCAGGTTGGGGGGGGGAGGGATCGGGGTGCTCCCTGCACGGCTGTGGGGCGTGTGGGGGTGCCTGCTTGGGACAGAATCTCAGGGTCTGAGCGGGACATGAGGAGATGAGGAAGGCCAGCGCTGGGCAGTATCGGGGTGAAGGTGAGACTCACTGTAGAAGGCCTAGCCGAGCTCCTGGGAAGGGGGGACCCGCCATCCCCCCAGGATACCTCTCCAGGGAGCAGGGAAGATGCCCTTGGCTCCTGCCACTCCCCACATCTGCCCACGGGGCAGACACCCCAGAGGAACCCAGAGCTTCCACAGAGACACGGTTCTTTAGAATTGAGGCTCCCTGCTAAAAGAAGAAAAAGAGACAGAGAAAGTGTGGGAGTGGGGGAGAGAGGGAAAGAGATGGAGAGAGAGAGAGAGAAAGTGTCTGCCACAGAGGCAGGTTGGGAAGGCGGGAGGGACATTGGGGGAATATTGTGTGATTGAAATCCAACCATGAACAACTATGTAACAGTGTATCTCAGTAATTTAGTAAAAAACAAAAAGTGGGAGTGGGGAGTCTGTAGTCTGAACTTCAGTAAAGTGATAATTCTCCATCATTACGGTTTTAGCATTAAAAATGTTGTTATGCCTTAGATTTTAAAAAAAATTGTTATACTTAAGATAAAAAAAGGTAAAGGCCCTCCCGTTGATCATCGATTTGCTCGAGTGGGCCCAGTAACGTCTCCATTGGAGACTTTGTTGTTACTGTGTTTGGCATATCGAATACTCTCGGTAGCTTGCCGGGCTCTCCGAGAGGGGTGGAGGAATCGAACTCGGGTCGGCCATGTTGGCCGCGTGTAAGGCGAACGCCCTACCACTGTGCTATCGCTCCAGCCCTGGAGCGATAGCACAGCAGTAGGGTGTTTGCCTTGCACGTGGTCAAACAGGTCGACCCGAGTTCGATTCCTCTGCCCCTCTCGGAGAGCCAGGCAAGCTACCGAGAGTATCTCGCCTGCATGGCAAAGCCTGGCAAGCTACCCGTGGTGTATTTGATATGCCAAACACAGTAACAAGTCTCACAATGGAGACGTTACTGGTGCCTGCTCGAGCAAATAGATGAACAACAGGAGGACAGGACAGGACAGGACAGTGCTTAAAAAAAAAAAGGAATTAAACATCTCTGGCTACAGAGCTTTGGGGCCCAAATTCAGTCCCCTTTCCCCTGCAAGCCAACTGGTCACACAGCCGCCTGGACAGCGACGTCCAGTGTCCAGTGTCACGGCTGCACTTCAGCCTGGCCCTCCTGCCCCCTGCCCCCCACAGGAACCCCAACCTGAAGACCCTCCTGTCTGTTGGCGGATGGGGCTCTCGTCGTCGTCAAAGGTAGACCCTCCTCCTGGGGGCCGGGGGGGCTTCTGGGGTGCTGGGGTGAGAGTGAGGAAGCACAGGCCTCCCTGCCCGCTGTGTGGGGGCTCAGGGCCTGCTCCTGTGCCGCTGGGGCCCCGAGTCACACGGCCCGAGGGACCTGCCCACCGCCTCTCAGCCCTGGAGGCGAAGCTGGCTGTTGGGGCTGCAGCGAGAGTCGGCAGGGACAGCGCTTGACTCCTCCCAGGTGGGGACCCATCCCAGGCACCCCACACGGTCCCTGAACAAGGCCTGGGGCAACCCCTGAGCACAGAGCTGGGAGTAAGTCCTGATGTTGCCCAAAACAAAACAAAACAAAACAAAACAGCCCCATCTCCTTGCTCCAGAGCGAGGAGGACTGTGGGAAGAAGGAGTGAGTGGGGTGCAGAGGCCCCGGGACCCTGCCCAGAGGGATGAGGTCAGAGCAGCAGTGGAGAGGGGGAGGCCTGGCCGTGCGGGTCCCGCTCGCCAGGCAAGGGCATGTGGCACCTTCCTGGCCGCCGCTGGTGGCCCAAGTGTCTGGGGCTGGGCTCCTGGGTCGACTCAGGTGAGCAGACCCGGGGTGTGGTGTGCCCTGTTGCCGTGGCCAGTGTGTGTCGGGGCAGCCAGGGAAGATGGGAGCCCCTGGTTCCACCCCCCCCACACACACACACTTTAAGACGCCTGCAGGGGGCTGCATCCCCCCTGACTGCAGGCTGTGCAGGCCCAGGCTCCTGCCCCTGTGTCCAGGCCGCTCTCCAAGGGCCCACACACCCGCACAGCAGCACCCACAGTCCTGGGGGACTCTGTGTGTGCGAGTGTGACTGTTAGTGTGTAGGACTCTGTGCATGTGTGTGTGTGTGTGTGCGTGGGTGGAGCATGTGCTATGCATTAGTGTGTGCCTTATGTGGGTGTGTATGTGTGTAGAGAGTCTTGCAGTAGTGTATGCTGTGTGTATGGAGTGTGCTTATATGTGGGAGTGTGTTTATGTGTGCATGTAGAGTGTGTGAGAGTGTGGGGTGTGTATGGGTGTGAAGTGCATGTATGTGGAAATGTGTGTTGTGTATATGTGTGGAGTGTGAATATGGTGTGTGTGTTTGTGTGGAGTATATGGATGAAAGAGTGTATGTTGTGTGTTATATATTGTGGAGTGTGTGTATTATGTGGGAATGTGTGTTGTGTTTATGTGTCTGTTGTATATTATGGAGTGTGTGAATATGTGGAAGGGAGTAGTGTGTGTGTGTGTGGAGTGTGGATGTGTGTGCATGTGTGGGAATATGTGTTGTTGTTGTGTATATGTGTGAAGGGTGAATGTGGGGTGTGTATGTATGGGTGTGTAAGTGTGTATGTGTGTGGAATATGTGTATGGGAGAGTGTGTGTTGTGTGTGTTGCATATTGTGGAGTGTGTGTATGTGGGAATGTGTTTCGTGTTTGTGTGTTGTGTATTGTGGAGTGTATATGTGGGGGGTGTTGTGTGTGTGGAGTGTGGGGTGTGCATGTGTGGGAATATGTGTTGTGTGTTGTGTATATGTGTGAAGGGTGAATGTGGGGTGTATATGTGTGGGTGTGTAAGTGTGTGTACGTGTGTGGAATATGTATATGCAAGAGTATATGTTGTGTGTGTTGTATATTGTGGAGTGTGTATACGTGGGAGTGTGTGTTGTGTTTGTATGTGTATGTTGTACATTGTGGAGTATGTGTATGTGTGTGGCGATGTTGTGTGTGTCTATGTGTGTGGAGTGTAGGGTGTGCATGTGTGGGAGTGTGTGTTATGTGTATGTGTGGAGTGTGAATGTGGGGTGTGTATGTGTGGGTGTGTAAGTGCGTGTGTGTGTGTGGAATATGTGTATGGGAGAGTGTATGTTGTGTGTGTTGCATATTGTGGAGTGTGTGTATGTGTTTTGTGTTTGTGTGTTGTATATTGTGTGTATGTGGGGGGTGTTGTGTGTGTGTGGAGTGTGGGGTGTGCATGTGTGGGAGTGTGTGCTGTGCACGTGTTGGGACGTGTATGAGGAGTGCTGGGGATGAACCCAGAGCCTCACGCTGCAGCCCTGCCCCCGGCCCAGGTTCTACCAGGTGGTGTCCACCCCCGAGAGCCGCAGGGCCTTCATCAGCTCCGTGCCGCCCTTCCTGCGCACCCACGGCTTTGACGGGCTGGAGATCTCCTGGGTCGGGCCTCAGCGGAGGGACAAGCAGCCTCTCGCCACCCTCATCAAGGTGCCAGGGGTGGGGGGACAGAGGCCAAGGGCGGGAGAGGCAGCGGGCACTAGGCAGAGACCCCCTGGGTCTGTGAGGTTCAGGGTCTGGCCACGGTGAGGTGCTCGTCCGATGCGCCCAGCATGTCCTCGGGGGCAGGGAACGGCCAGCACACACACCCAGGGCAGAGGACGCTCTCGGCCGCTTTCAGGACCAGGGTGGACACGTGAAGGTGGCGACTTCCCACACCAGCTCAAAGACGCACGAAAGGCAAATCTCTCCTGGTGTCACTGCCGGGCCAGTGGTGCGGCAGGGTGGGGCCCTCAAGGACAGGTCACACCGTCCTTTCCGTATCAGGGATCACAGCAGCTGGGGGAGACTGATGAGGCGTGGGGGGCGCCCAGACTTGCCCCCAACACCCTGCCCACACTTGCCTCTCCCCGCTCAGGAAATGAAGGAAGAATTCTCCCGGGAGGCGGGGCCAGAGCCCAGCCGGCAGCCGCTCCTGCTGAGTGCCGCGCTATCTGCAGGGAGGGTGGCCATCGACACTGGCTACAATGTGGCCCAGATGGCCCCGTGAGTATCCCGCCTGCCGCACTGCCCCTCTCTGTCCTTCCCAAACCCTGCATGCCTCAGTATCCCCATCTGCCAGAGGGGAGTAGGGACGGCCCTTGGAGAGTCATTCCTGCATTTGTGGAACGGGAGGTGGGAAGGCAACACCGTCAGCTGGCCAGCAGCCCCCTGAGTCCAGTGGGAGGGCCTCGGGCAGGACAGTGCTCCTGACCTCACTCTCACTCCTGGGCTGCTGGGGACCCTCCCTCTGCCACCCTTCTCAGACCAAGTCCCCGCGAGCAAGTGAGGATGAGCACCGTCAGCGGAAGCTGGCGTCCCAGGGAGGCAGAGGGCACGTAGGGCACCCTGCCTGGGACACAGCAGCTTCACAGTGGTTCTAGAACCTTCTGCAGGACCCTGGGGAGGTATTGCCAGAGCCACGCACCTAAGGCTGACGGGTCCTCGTGCCCAGGGGCAGCTCCTCCCACGGGGCCCCACCTGCCGCCTGGGTCCTGCTCTTTGCCCACTAGACTCAGCGCTACTGCTGCCACTGACCCCAGATGAATGTGGGGCGGGGGCTGGCTTGGAGACCAGTGCCCAGGCCCCAGATGAATGTGGGGCGGGGGCTGGCTTGGAGACCAGTGCCCAGGCCCTCCCCCCCTGTACTGCCCCTGACCATGGGGTTGCAACGAGTGTGAGTGAGCCCGAGAGCTTCCTAAGTCCACCCTCCCCCGCCCCGCCACACCTCATCTTCCCCAGAAACCTGGACTTTATCAGCCTCCTCACCTACGACTTCCACGGGTCCTGGGAGTCGGTGACCGGCCACCACAGCCCCCTGTTCCGGGGCCAGAAGGACTCACGTTCCGACAGGTTCAGCAATGCCGTGAGTGTGGCCACGGGGGCTGGCCACTGGGCCTTGTCACCCGCTGCTCTAGGCCCTGCAGGGGAGGGGCCCACGGGTCTGGGGAGCTGAGCCCTGTGCTCTGGGGAGCAGGGTGAGACCCCCCCCTGAGGCTCAGCGTGGGAAGGGGCCGCCCAGGACGACTCTGGCCTTCCCCTCCCCCAGAGCCTGAGCCTGGCTTGGGGGCTCTCACGCCCCCCCCCCCGCCTCCCCCCTGCAGGACTATGCGCTGAGCTACATGGTGCGGCGGGGGGCCCCGGCCTCCAAGCTGCTGATGGGCATCCCCTCCTTCGGGAGGACCTTCACTCTCAGCTCCGCCCTCACGGACGTGGGCGCCCCTGTCTCCGGGCCTGGAGAGCCGGGCCGCTTCACCAAAGATCCGGGGATGCTGGCCTACTATGAGGTGCGAGCCCCCTACTCCACCTGCAGCCCCTCAGCGTCTGCAACCTTGGGGGGTGGAAAGCGGGACGGGGGGGGGGGGGTGTCAGCTAAGGCTCCTACAGCGCTGGGCAGGAGCACGGAGCTCCCGGGAGCCCCACTGGCTTCCTTCCTGGCCCAGGTCCACACCACGGCTCCGGACACGCTCTGGCTTAGCCTCTCAGTGTAGTGGTCCTTCCCACTGAGGAGGCCACAGGGGCCAAGGCTGGCAGTGGGAGGGTGGGACCATTTGCTCCTGTCTCCTGCATCTCATCCCTGGGGTCCAGTGCATTGCACAGGGCCACTGCACGGGGGTCTGGTGTCAAAGAAGCCAGGACTGCAGGAGCCTCGGGGCTTGGGCATTGCCCCTTCTCAGCTGCGTGTCCCCCGCCCCCTGTTCTCTGCTCAGATCTGCGACTTCCTCCAAGGAGCCACGGTCCACAGGCTTGACCAGCAGGTCCCTTACGCCACCAAGGGCAACCAGTGGGTGGGATATGATGACCAGGAGAGCGTCCGGAAGAAGGTGGGTGCCCCCAGGAAGGTCTGCTCCCTGCTGCGGTGGGGGGGGGGGGTGACTGGCAGAGGGGGTGACATACGATGCGGTGCCCCGGGAGGGAAGTGGGGGCCAACACCCAGCCCTGCGTACTGTTCCCCCCACACACACCCAGGTGCAGTACCTGAAGAACAAGCAGCTGGGGGGCGCTGCCGTGTGGGCACTGGACCTGGACGACTTCGGGGGTCACTTCTGCGGCCAGAACGTGCGCTTTCCCCTCATCGGTACCATCAAGGATGCACTGGCGGCACCTTAGCCCTCGGCCGCTGCTCAGCTGCCCCACGAGCCCTCACATCCCTCCCACGAGCCCGAGAAGGGACAGAGGGGACGGAAGAGGCTGGGGGACACAGGGGCAGAGACCAATGCCCACCCTGCAGAGGAGGAGAACGCACAGTGTCTCCAGGGCCCCTGCAGGTGGATTTCTGCAACTCCTCCCCGCCAGCCAATGGCTCTGCCACTGACCTGTCACCCCACTCCACCCCCACCCTGCATGGCTGAGCCACAGGGACGCTGCCCGCTGCCCAGCAGAGCTGTTTTCCAGCTGCCCAATAAAGCGCTTCCTGCTTCAGCTAGACCTGGGCTCTGTGCTCCCTCCTTCCCTCCCTCCCCAGTTCTGGATCACTCATCAGACTCAGGAAGCCTGACCCTACAGAATGGAGCCCACCCTGGAGAGCCCCAGGGAGCCCAGCACACACTCATGGGCTGGGTCTGATGAACCGTCAAACCCACGCGCCCCGCCAACTGTCACTTCCCATCCTGTGTCTCTGCACCCCAGCCCCCACCAGCCCAGTTAGCTTATTTACGTATTTATTTATTTCTTTATTTATTTATGGCTTTTTCTGGGTCACACCCCACGGTGCTCAGGGGTTGCTCCTGGCTCTGCTCAGGGACCCTGTGGGATGCCAGGGATATCGAACCCAGATGGGCCATGTGCCAGGCAAATGCCCTCTTCGCTGTACTATTTCTCCGGCCTCACCCCGGTTAGTCTAGGGAGCTGCCGAGGGCCGGGTTAGAAAGCCTGACCCTGAACTCCCAGAAGAAGGGGACACTGGTGTCCCTGGGTCACCCTTGTGGGCCTGGGGACGTGACTCCAGCCTCGCCCCGTGTCCCAGCGCGCAGGACGTTCCCTTAGGGCAGCCGTTACCACCCGGAGCCTCAGCCCCGCTCTCTCGCCCTTCTGGGGTCACACTCAGCTCTCGGCCGGGGCTGGCCAGGGACTCGGGTGGAGGGAGGGGGACAGCTGGGCTCAGAACCCCAGGGTGTCTGGGTACCAAGACACTCCACTCTGAATGACAGGGGCCCCCGGGGGGCTGCCCTGCAGGCTCTGAATCCACCTCTGTGACCTGCTGGTGTGTGGGCCACCGTGGCGGTGCCACAGCGGGGGGTGGAGACGTTGGTCCAAGGTGTAGAGAGGAAATTGGCTGCACTGAGGTCTGAGCTGGCGCCCGGCACATGCAATTGATCCCAAGGTCAGGGCCGGACTAGGAGCAAAGTCAGAGCTGGGCCTGGGCTCTCGGGGTGTGGGGCACAGTCCACGCTGCTGGGGGCGGCTTTCCCGCCCACCCTCTACCCACTCCAGCAGGGCAGTTGAAAGCCCCAGGGGCTGTGGGGCTGTGAGCAGAAGCCCCTCCTCCCTCCCTGCCACCCAGCCCCCACCCGGGGCAGCTCTGCGGGGCTGACTCAGGGGCCTTGGAGGTTAGTCACACTCAGTAATAGTGTCAGAGTCAGAGGGATGGAGCCCATCCTCCAGTAGTAGCAGTCTGAGTCACCTGGCATGGGGCGCCCTCCAGGGCACAGGCCCCTGCCCCCAGGAGGAACAACGGGCCTCGGTAGCATTACAGGGACCCCTGTACCACCAGTGCCACCCCACCCCTGTCCCGCCACCGCCATGCCCTGGCCTGATGTTCGGTTCCCTTCCAGCTCTGGCCATGAGGAAGAAAGAGCCCAGCACGGCCAGGGAACCCCGTGGGTGGACCCCGGGTCGGGATGGTCTGTGGGAGGGACACCGCGTTCTCAGCCTGCAGATGCACCCCCCCATTAGGGGCAGCTGTCCTTATGACCCCCAACCTCTGAAAGGCAGCTGTCCCCCTGTACCCTCTGTCTGTGAGAGGCAGCTGTCCCCCCGCACCCTAGTTTGATGTTGGCCCCTTTCCTGTGCATCTCTCAGGGCACTGGGCCAGACTTTCTGGGGGTGCCCCTGCCAGACCTAGAGCAGGCACCTCTTCACCTCCAGCCTCATTTCCTGCAGTGTGAAGGCTCAAAGACTTCCTGTGCCCCCAACAGTGAGCTTTTGGGGCTCCTTCTGCCAGCTACATGGGGGTCTTGGGCTTATTGAGTCATCTCTGACCTTCAAGGTTTAGGGGATGGATGAACCAATGTCTAGAAATGTACTTGCACCGACCTCGTGACCCCACGTGTCCCCACGTTCCCCCACACCCATTGTCCACTTTGAAGCACCTAAAAGAGTCTAGAAGCGTCTAGAAGAATCTAGAAGAGTCTGGAAGAGACCTGACTTCCTCTGGGGTCTCTTCAATAGCTGACCGACGACTTCCCTGCGGTCCAGGGCTCACACTCTCGCAGCACTGTCTGTATTCGCTGTGTGGACCAGGCGGGGAGGGGGTCCTCACCTGCCTCCCCGACACAGGCAGAGACCGGGGTCACGGCCCTGGAGGTGCTACCTCCACCCACATGGCTGTGCCCAGTGCCCCTGCCCAGGGCTCCTCTGCCTCCCCTAGCACAGGGGGCCGCCAGGGCGGGTGGGACCCCGGCTGTGTCTCGGCTGAAACCAGATCCAGAGGCAGAGCCACACTCTGCTCGTGCCATTGGCCTGCCCCCTGGCACGGGTCCAGCCTGCCCGTCTGTGCCCGCCCGGTCCAGGCAGCGGCTCCCGGGCGGTGGGGATCCAATCAGGGTGATACCCAAGGTAGCGGCTCCTCGAGGGACCCTGGAGGTTCCTCCCCCAGAGCTATTCCTGGCCTGGGCGCCTCCCACCCCCTGGTCCCCCAGCCTGGCCTGACCTCACAGCTGGGCGCTGGGGGCGGGGCGGCCGCACTATATAAGCCTGACCCTGGGGATCGCAGGCACCCACGGGCCCCCGCAGCCACCCAGCCATGACAGGAGAGACCACCCCCGAGGGGCCCGCCTCTGCGGAGGCCGCCACGAAGCCCAGTCCAGAGCCCTTGGGAGAAGGGGCAGCTCTGGAGGCCAGCCCGGGGGAGCAGGCGCCCAAGCCCCAGGAGCTGGAGAAGCCGGCACTGGAGCCGGAGGCACCTGCCCCCGAGACCCCCGCGGCCCCCGCAGATGTGCAGCCTGCACCTGGCCCAGAGACCCCCGCTGCCCCGGAGACCCCCGCAGACGCACAACCGGCACTTGCCCCGGCGGCCCCTGTAGCCCCCGCACCCCCTGCAGACGTGAAGCCTGCACCTCCGAGTGAAGGTGATGAGCATCGGGGCAGGTGAGGGCAGGGCTGCAGCCACGGGGTGGGGGCGCTTGTCCCTGACCCTAGTCTCCCTGCCCGCCCCTCAGACGTCCCCAGCGCCCCGCTGCTGCTGGCCGTGGAGGACGTGAGCGACAGCTCGGTGACTGTGAGCTGGGAGCCCCCCGAGACGCTCGGGAGACTGGGCATCCGGGGCTACGTGCTGGAGCTCCGCCGAGAGGGAGGTGAGCATGGCAGAGCCCGCACCGGCAGGGCTGGGGGGCACGGAGGGGGCACAGGTGGAGTCTGAAGATGAGGGTCGTCCCAGCCACCGCAGGAGGCCCCAAGGCTGTGGAGGGAAGGGGAGCTGGTCCGGGGCAGGTGGGGGGGGCGGCCGAGACCGCTGGCTTTCTCTAGATCATCCCTCTGGCTGGGCCCCGTCGTCTACCTCGTGGTGGTCAACTTGAGCCTGGACTTAGGTCTTTCCCCTTACGTGGCTGTGTGACCTGGCAAAGGTGTCCAACCCTCTCTGGGCTTCCACTGCCGCATCTCTGGTGGCCTTTGCAGGGCCTAATGTGTTGCTCTGGGCGGGTGGCAGGGACGCCACTTCACCGCAAGGTGCGGACGGGGAGGAGGGGGAAGGTTCGTCCTGGGAGGGAGCCGGAGGCCCCCAGTGCCGGCTTCTCAAACAAAGGCTGGGCTTCAGCGGGGGTGTGGGTGCCACAGAGCCCCTCTCTCCCCTCCACGCCCCAGCCTCCGAGTGGGTCCCCGTGAACGCGCGGCCCATGATGGTGACCCAGCAGACGCTGAGGAACCTGGCCGTGGGGGACGTCTTCTTCCTGCGCGTGGCTGCCGTGAGCTCTGCGGGCGCCGGCCCGCCAGCCGTGCTGGACCAGCCTGTCCGCATCCAGGCCATCATTGGTGAGCACTGCGCCCCCTGCCTCCCGCTCCCCGCCCCCACCCAGGGGACACTGGCCCCCACCCAGCCCCCACTCAGACACTAGCCCCTGCTGTCACCATCTTGCCTTAAGAAAGTTCTCGGTTCGAACTGCACAGGTAGTCCAGCGGGTAGGGCATTTGCCGTGCACATGGCCAACCAGGGTTCGATCCCCGATACCCCAGATGGCCCCCAGAGCACCACCAGGAGTGATTCCTGAGCCCAGAGCCAGGAGTAACCCCTGAGCACTGCTGGGGTGGCCCAACTACCCTGTCCCCCAATTTCCAGGTTCCTCTGGAGGTCAAAGAGCCCATTTTCCGAGGCACCCATTCCTGTCCTCGAGCGATGCCAGCCCCGGCTCCCTGGCCCTGCCTTGGGGTCCCCGTGCCGACAGCTCAGCCTGTCCTTGCTCCTTGTTGGTGGGTTCCTGGTACCCCCCCCACCCCAGCCCCCACCTGGATAAGGAGGAAGGTTGAGGCTCTGTGGTCTCGCGTCGTAGCCCCGTGGGGTCGCGGGATGGGGTTTCTCCATCCCCAGCGAGCAGAGTGTGCGGGGCCCGGGGGCCAGCTGCCGTCCTCCTGCCACAATTTCTATTTGCAGTGTGCAGCCTGCACGGGCCCCCTCCCGCTGCCGCTCAGGTTTCAGTCTGTTAATGGCACTGAGTCATTTGGTCTGAGCCGAGGTCTCTGGGGACAGCCCAGGGCCCCAGGGTGAGGAGAGACACGGGCCAGCAGGTGGCCGAGCCACCCTGCCCAGGGACAGACGGTTCTGGATGGAGGCTGGGGCAGGACCCCAGAGATTCTGGGCCAAGTTCTGGGCCAGGCCTCCAGAGAGGGCAATGTTGGGCTTCAAGGAAATACGGCGCAACTCCAAGCCCAGAGGACTTAGAATTGAACACAGTCACCGGGGGTCCAGCCCAGCCGTGCCAGACCAAAGGGCCCAGAGTGTCCTTGAGGCCCCTGCCCACTCACAGAGGGCGCTCTGCCCCTCCTGAGGGTACAGGGACCCTCCAGCTGGTCTTCAACAGGCCGAGCCTGTCTCTGGAGTCTAGGAGAGCAGTGACCCCACCCGCCACCGAGGTCGGGGACACTGACAACAGCCTAGGGGTTCAAAATCCCCTTGATCTGCCTGCCCTTGGCACCCCAGTGCCCCCACCCCAGCCTTGTTATCACAGGCCCCTGCCCAGGAGCCGAGCACCCAAGGGCCCACAAAGCTCCCCCCAAGGAAGGGGGGGCTATTTCCTGGAGAGAAGAGGGGGCGGTGGCCACGAACAGTGGGGAGCAGGCTGAGGGGACCCTCCCAGCGAGCCTGGCCGCTCAGCTGTCCCTCCCGGCCACCTGGAGCTGCCAAGCATTCTGGCCCCTGCAGCTGGCCCCGGAGCACGACAAGCTCGCGGCTCGGGCGCCAAGTGCCTGCGTGGCTAATTCTCAGAGACACCGTGTCCCTTCTCCCTGTCCCCTCCCTCCCCCACCCGGCGTGCCCCTGACCAACTGCGGCCACCTGTTTGCTGCAGAGGTGCCCGCCCGGGTCAGGCCTCAGCCCAGGGGCTGCTGCCGCTCTAAGGAATGAATGCCGGGGCCCAGGGGGGCCCCGCGGGCCAGGGGGCAGCTCAAGGCAGGGCTCAGCAGACCTTCCTGGGAGTCAGGCCTCCTGAGAGGGACGGGGCGGGAAGGCAGGGGGCACCTCGTTTTGGGAGGGACAGGTCCTTATTCTCCCCCCACCTGCCCCCAGGGAACAGAGCATGGGCCCCAGGTAGGCAGGGACAGGAATGCAGATGCAGCACCCACTGCCCCACCAGGGGTCACCAGAGAGCCGACAGCCCATCTGGAGCCTGGGAATGCCTGGGCCGAGGCCAAATCCCAACCTGGCAGGGCCAAGGCCCCAAGGGAGTGCCCGGGATGCTCACCGGTTCACACCACGGACACATGGCCCTCCTGGAATCTGCTGGCCCTCGGCTCCCCCAGGACTTCGGGGACCTGTGCCCCTGGTGTGGGGAGAAAGGCACCCATCCTAGATGTCCTTGGGAGACGCCTCCTCCACTCACCCCACCAGGCCCCCAGGCAGTGCCCCGCACCCCACCGCGCTGACTCCCGACTCTCACTCTCACACAGAGCCCCCCAAGATCCGAGTCCCCCGCCACCTCCGTCAGACCTACATCCGCCGTGTGGGGGAGTCAGTCAACCTGCAAATCCCCTTCCAGGTGGGTGCGCCCCCACATACCCCAGGCGGGGTCCCCGCCAGCCTCTGGGCCAGTCTTGCCCTCCCTCAGCCCTGCCTGTGCAGGGGGCGGGTGAGGCGGGCCAGCCCTCGGGATGAGGGTCCGGCAGCTCTGACCTCTGCTGTCCCCAGGGAGGCACCTGCCCTGGTTGGACCCCAGGGGCTCTGCGGTGGTGGTGGGGGGTGCTGGCCCCTCTGAGACCTCCCTGAGAGCTCCTTCCTCCCAGGGGAACCCCAAGCCTCAGGCCTCGTGGACCCACAATGGCCACGCCCTGGACAGTCAGCGGGTGAACGTGCGTGCGGGGGACCAGGACTCCATCCTCTTCATCCGCTCGGCCCAGCGCGCCGACTCGGGCTGCTATGAACTCACCGTGCGGCTTGAGGGCCTGGAGGCCAAGGCGGCCATCGACATCCTGGTGATCGGTGCGAGCCTGGAGGGGTGGTCCTGGCGGGGCGGGCGGCGGGCATCCAGCTCAGCCCTCAGGGGTGACCCCCACGCCCTGTGTGTGCTCTGGGCCTGCAGAGAACCCCGGCCCCCCCAGCAGTATCCGGCTACTGGACGTCTGGGGCTGCAATGCTGCCCTCGAGTGGTCACCGCCCCAGGACACAGGCAACACGGAGCTCCTGGGCTACACGGTGCAGAAGGCCGACAAGAAGACAGGGGTGAGGCGGAGCGGGGCCGGGCGGGGGAGGGAAGGGGCGCCGAAGAGGTGAGGCCACCAAGGCAGGAAAAGGAAGGGGTGAGGTGGGGAGGGAAGAAGTGCAGAAGAGATGAGACAGAGCAGGAAAGGGACGGGGTGGGAAGGGAAGGGGTGGAGACGGAAGGGGCCAGAGAGGGAAGAGGTGGGAGCAGGGAGGGGCGAAGGGAGGAGGGGTGGGGAAGGGCAGGAGAGGGAAGAGGTCAGGGAGGGAAGGGATAAAGCAGGGCAGGGAAGGGCTGCGGAGGGGTGGGAGAGGTGAGGAGGGAAGGGGCAGGCGAGGGAAGAGGGGAAGGGCAGGGGAGTGGAGGGCAGGGGCAGTGCGGAAGTGGTCAGGATGGCTGGCAGTCGGGAAGACCCACGTGGAGCTCAAGACGAGTTCCACTCCGTCCACTAGCAACCGCCGCCCCTGTGGCCTCAGCTTCCCCCAGAAGACCACAAAGGGGGCTGGACGGGCTGTGGGAGGCCCTTGGGGCTGAGCTTTGGGAAGGTTCCCGCAGGCGTGTCAAGGGGATGGTGCTGAGGCGGGCGGCACCCAGCCCACCCAGGGCGGCCAGGCCGGAGTCACTTCCGAGGGGCTCCGGGACTAGTTGGCTTTGCAGGCCACACCCCGGGGGACCCCAGAGAGTCCCAGAGCTGGGCAGGGGCCTCCACTGGGCCAGGGCCTGCAGGACGGGCGAGGCGGGGGTGGGGTGTCACTCAGCAGCCCCTCCCCCCCACCCCCTGCAGCAATGGTTCACGGTGCTGGAGCGCTACCACCCCACCACCTGCACCATCTCCAACCTCATCGTGGGCAACTCCTACTCCTTCCGGGTCTTCTCTGAAAACCTGTGTGGCCTCAGCGCCTCGGCCGCGGTCACCAAGGAGCTGGCCCACATCCAGAAGGCAGGTGGGTGTGGGCGGCGCCAACCATGCCCACCCAGACCCGAGCTTTCCCGGCCATCTCAGCGCCCCCGGGCCCCAGACACATGTCAGCAAGGAGGCCCCAGAGGCCCCCGGCTGCCCGGGGGGGACAAGGGCAGACCCGTGGTCCAGCGCAGGCCTCCGAGATGCATGAGAGATAGGGGTGTTGACAGCGTCCACATACTGCGGGCCGCATGACCCTCTGGCATCGGATGGGAAATTCCACCTTCCCTGCCCCCCGGCCCTGGCCCCCCCCTGGCCCAGGCGGCGTGTGTCTGGGGGAGCTCCGGAAGGCACACCACGCTCACACCAGCTGGAGCGGCCCAGATTTTGGGGAGGTTTTAAAAAAGGAAAGAATGCCAGCAGAGACAAGAAAGGAATGTGGTGTCCCGGGGCGCTTGTCTCCAGACCTGCTCCTTGCTTGGGTCCTCGACCCCCCCATCCACCCATGTCCTTCCCCCCCCCACCTTCCAGGCCTGTCCCCCATTTTTACGCTATCTCTTTGGGACACCCTGTCCCCACTAGGACATGCCCAGCTTCCCAAAGAGCCTCGGAACCTAGGGTTCTGTGAGTCTCCCAAGAGGGGCCGGGAGGAAGTGGAGGACGCCCACCTTTGGGACTGAACCCCACCCCCGAGCAGTGTGGGGGCTGGGGTGCCCACCTGCCAAGTGCAGGAGAAACCCACCTGCAGAGAAAGCACACTGAACAGAGAAGCCTGTGGCAGGGAGGGGCTGCAGGGATAAGTTTTGGTCGTTTGGGGGCTGGGGGCACACCAGGTAGTGCTCAGGGCTTGCTCCTGGCTCTGTACTCAGGAGTTACTCCTGCTACTCAAGGGACCATATGGGATGCCGGGGATCGAATGCAGGTGGGCCGCATACAAGGTTAAGGCCTTCCCCGCTGGACGATGATCACTCTGGCCCCGGCACTGATGGTTTTGGCAAAGTGGATGAGGCCTTCACAGGTCAGCTGGGACCTCACCTACACTACCACTGTCTCCCCGGGGCGCAGATATCGTCACCAAGCCCAGAGGGTTTGTTGAGCGAGACTTCCAGGAGGCCCCCACGTTCACGCAGCCCCTGGCGGACCACACGTCCACGCCCGGCTACAGCACGCAGCTCTTCTGCAGCGTGCGAGCCTCGCCCAAGGTGAGGGGGGCAGGTCAGGGCAAAGGAGTGGGGGTGGGGCGCAAACGCGAGGGGGGCCCCCTCCGGGACCCCCGCCCAGCCCAGGCTCCCTCTCTCTCTCGGAGCAGCCCAAGATCATCTGGATGAAGAATAAGATGGACCTCCAAGGGGACCCCAAGTACCGCGCGGTGTCGGAGCAGGGGGTCTGCACACTGGAGATCCGGAAGCCCTGCCCCTTCGACTCGGGCGTGTACACCTGCAAGGCCATTAACGTGCTGGGGGAGGCGTCTGTGGACTGCAGGCTGGAGGTCAAAGGTGAGGCAGGCTCTGGCGGGCAGTGGGGGCTGGAGGGTGGCAGTGAAGACCAGATGGGGCTGAAGGCCAACGGGCAAGAGCCAGGCCCCTGGGCGGAGGCTGTGGCCGCACGGAGGTGTGGGTCCTGGTCTCTGTTCCCTGGGTCCCCACCCCCCACCCCAGCCACTCTGACCCCTGGCCCTGGGTGACCCCTCTCTATCTCCGTCCCCGCCCCTGGGTCCCCACCCTGAGCTCTGACTCTCAGTGGCTCTTCCAGCCTCAGCCACTCACTGAAGCAGGACAGAGTGACTGCGGCGAGGAACAAGGTGAAGGTGAGTGTCCCTCGGTGCCTGGCAGGGGCCAGGAGGCATGGGGGTGGTGGGCTCAGGTCTGCTGAGGACCTTGGGGTGACAGAACGCGGCCTGGGCTGAGGGAGCTGGACACCCCCCCCCCCCCCCCGCAGGGCACGGTGGCCTCATCTGGCTGTGTGTCATCCTCAGAAGAGGGGCCCCAGTGGCACCCACCTTCCCTCCCGAGCACCCTGAGGCTCTGGGGAAAGTCGGGGGTCCTAGGTCAGTGAGTCCAACCCCCTCACCTCTCCGGTCGATTCCAGGGGTTCACGACGATGTTCTCTGCCAGCCCAGGGGGTCGGGCCTGTCGCCCCCTGCCCAGACTCCAGTTCCCAAGCAGCTGTGACAGTCTCGGCCCCCCCTTGCGCCCCGGCCCCAACGGAGGGGGCTGGCACCGGGTCGAGGGTCTGGCGGCTCCACGTCGGGGTTCCTGGGTGTGACGCCCCCAACCCACCCCCCAGCACTGAGACTGGGGCGCCCTGGGGGTGGCTCTGGCTCAAATAAAGGCGTGTGGTGTGACCAGCGGCTCTGGAGTGGACGAGGGGTGGGGAGGCCCGGGACAGGGCGGGGGGCACAGGGACAACAGGAGTGGGGGTCCCGAGCAGATGCCGAGGCTCTGGCTTCCTCAGTCAGGTTTGCAGACTGCCCCCGGCCCCAACCCCTCCCCGCGGCCACGCTCGAGCACCACCCTGCCTTCCCCACCACGCCCAGTGCGTGGGGCCCAGTTGGCGTCCCCGGCCGTGTGCTGGCCTGGGCTAGCTCTGCAGTGTGGACGCCAGGAGAACCGTCGAAGGTTCAGTCTTTATTCGTCACTGCCCCCGTGCCCCGGGAGCTCGGACAGAGGGAAGGACTCAGAATCCAGAGCTGGGGCTGCTCGTCACATTGGGGAGCCCCACCCCAGCCCTCCCCTCCCAGCAGGGGCTCCGGGTGTGGCAGGGGCCAGGTGCTCTGCCCCAGAGCTCCAGAAGCCCCTGGAAAGTGCTAGATATGGGTAATAGTGTTGTTGTTGGTGTTGGGGGGGGGCGGGTCCAAGGCATCTCCCTGCCTGGAGCCCCGGGAGGGTCTCCCCTCACCTGTTCCCGGGTGTGTCCCCTCCCTTTCCCTGGCCTACCCTGTCCCTAGGCAGACAGAATGCTGCAGAGATGAGGGTCACCTAGGGATGTGCAGCCCTGGGACACTCAGGGCAAGTGTCTGTGCTCACCACTGCCCCCTGGTGGCCACCCACAGCCTGTTTGCCTCTCCCCCACCCCCACACACACACCTCTTCATCGGGGCTGTGGGCCGAGGGGCTCAAGGACTGGTGGACAATAAAGCAAATGTTGGAAATGACTTTTGGACCTGCTCTTTCTGCTGCTCCCTAACATGGTCCCGTGTCTCCAGGGGGCGCGAGCAGGTCCCCTGGCACTTCACATGGCTGCCCCACGGGCCTCCCTGGTGGGCAACCCGGGAGAGCTGGGGTGAATGGGGCGGGAAACATACGGCTGGAGATGCCTGCCGATTCCTGCTTCTCAGCTGCTGGGGCCACTTTCTCCTGCAGGGCAGGAGAGAAGGAGAGGCCAGCACATCCGTTCCCTCCCCTCCCACTCGGAGGGGCCCCTGTCCTGGGGCTGCGTGTCCACCTCTCACCGGTCACCACCGAACCACGGCGAGGCCTGGGCTCATCCTGCCAGTCCCCAGGGCCCTCGACAGCCTGGTTCTGGGCGCTCGGACAGGTGGAGGAGGGGCCCCGGCCACGGGCTCCTTCCTCCAGTGACCACGCTCCTTCCCCACGGACGACCCACTGCCAGGACCAAAGTGGGCAGGTGCCCGCCGCCCGGCCAGGGAGACTCGGGGAGGGGGCAGCGGCCGGACAGGGGGGACGGGTGGACGGGGCCGAGAGGCCCGCATGCGGGCGGCTGGGGCAGGGAGGTGGGGGCTAGTCGTCCGGCCTCTCCTCGGGGTCCTCGTCCACGGGCGGGGCGGGCCGGCAGCGGAAGTGGTCGTTCCAGATCTTCAGGAAGGTGACCCGGAACTTCTGGATGCGGAAGGCGTAGACGATGGGGTTCATGGCGGAGTTGCCGTGCGTGAGGAAGATGGCGATGTAGATGAGGGTGGGGGGCTTGTGGCAGGTCGGGCAGAAGAGGGTGATGCAGTTCAGGATGTGCAGGGGCAGCCAGCTGAGGGCGAAGAGGAAGAGGATGAGCGCCAGGGACTTGGCGATCTTCAGCTCCTTGCCGTAGTACTTCTGCGGGTCCCCCGCGGAGGCGCCCACCTTCTTGCTCAGCTGCTTGCGGATCAGGTAGAAGACCTCCAGGTAGATGAGGACCATGAGCAGCAGCGGGGGCAGCACCCAGACGAAGAAGTTGAAGTAGACCATGTACTCCATGCTGATGACCTTCTCGAACTCGCACTTGATCACCGGCTCGCCCTGGCTGCCGTTGGCCGCCCAGGCCCGCTCCACCTCCCGCAGGTTGTTCCAGCCGAACATGGGCGTCAGGCCCACCATGAAGGACAGGATCCAGCAGCCCGCGATGGCCACGGCCGCCCGCCGCGGAGTCACCACGGTCTTGTACCTGGGGGTGGAGAGGACGGAGCGTGAAGCCGCTGACCGGGTGCAACCAGCCCGGGGCGCTCTCCAGGGGCGGGAGGGGAAGTGGGGGCCGGGCTGGCAGCAACCACGAGTCTCCTTAGGGGGAGGCGGGCCTGGTCAGGGATGGGCGGCGAGTGTCCTTCAGGGCATACAACCACCGAAGTGAGGGCAGGGAGGCTGAGAAGCTCCTATGCTCTGGGGGCCTCCCCATGGTCCTCTCACGGCTTCCGGGAAGCCAGGAAGGCACTGGCAGCATGAGGGCCCATCGCAGAGATAAGGAAACTGAGGCTCAGAGGAGCCAGGTGATCTTTTCCGGGCTCCAGCTGCTTCCGAGCCTGTGTAGCCTGGTGAATGCAACTCGTCAGCCAGCTGACTCACAAGCCGCCCCTCTGCCCAAGCCACAGGCACTCACAAACAGCATTTCCAGCATCTCCGTCTCGGCCCCCTACCCGCCCGCCAGGGCCCACCTCCGCTTCATCCTCCCGCACTGCCTCCTGAGGCCTGGTCCCAAGAGCCCTTCGAATCAGCAGCCCCAAGCGAACAGGAAATTGTTCTCAGAAGAGAAAGTTGCTGCTCACTGAGCACTCATAAGCGAGGGGCATGTGTACATATGTGCAAGCATGCACAGGTGCGGTGCATGTGTGCATGTATGTGTGTGCGTGCAAATGCACATGTGCTTGTATGTGCACGAGTGCATTTTCCAGCCGGGCTCGAGTGCTTCCTGCCCCAGGCCCGCCTCAGTGCTGGGACCACATAAAGAACGCCTGCTTGTCTGCAGCTTGTATTTGGGGTGAAGGAACCGGGGGGAGGGGGGGCGGGGGAGGGAGAGAGAGGGAGAGAGAGAGGGGACAGGTGTGGAGCAGGGACAGAGCTTCTCGGGCACCCCCGGGAAAGGAGAGCCTGTGGGTGACGCGGGCAGCCCCAAGGGGACTGTCCCTTCCCCGCTCACTGAGGCTGAGCTGCCGGCCACCCCTCAGTCCGCAGCCCGCATCTGCCCACACAGCAGCCCTGGACAGCCCGGCTCCATGCCCAGGCTGGCACCGCGCAGCTCTGCCCGGTGGTGATTTTCCAGTGCAGCTTCTAAGCTGAGCGGCAGGGCCCTCCCATGCCCTCAGCACGCCCCAGCCCTCAGAGGGCAGGGGCCACTCCACTCTGCCTGCTGCAGCCTCCAGCCTTTGCTCCACACCGATGACATCTGAGGTCCTGGGGTACCCACTCTGCGGCCCCCAGAGCCCGCTTCTCTGTGTGAAGGCTCAGCAAGGAGGGACAAAGGATTTCAGGGAGGGACCAGTGCCCGACCCCCCAAATCCCCGCCAACCTGGAAGGCAAGCACTACAAGGAACCTTTGGAAGTTCTTTCAACCTCATTATTCCAATGGGAAACTGAGGACCCAGGGGCATCCCCCACACTTGCTGTGTGGTGGTCCCTCTCCTGCTCAGGCAGAGAACTGAGCCTGCACCCCAGGTCTGTAGCTGGCCGAGATTCAGTCTGTAAGGGAGACCCCCCCTGCCCCAGGCAAAGGGGCGAGGACCAGGGCGCATGAAGGTCCACGGGATCCCACCCTTGCCTGCACCCCTCCTCCTGCACGCTCACACCTGGGGCCCCCACACCCAGGTGCTCCTTGCTGGGACACTGAGCAGTGTCTGCCCCCCAGCAGATGGGGCTCGGCTGGGGGAGGCCCCCTCCCCTCCCTCACCCCCCTCCCCGCGCCAGACCCCTCCTTGTGGGGCATAAATCCCCGTCCCCCCGTTTGTTGTCCACAGAAACTCCCTCCAGCACACAGCGGCCAACCGCCCCAGATGCCGCACTAGCTCACACAGTCGTTGTATAACACTGGGTTTAACAAATAACGCAATAAAGCCCCATCACACAGGGGTTTGTTTCCCTCTCGGCGTCAGCGGTCAGCCAGTTCACGGACTCTCTCTCTCATCCCCCCAGCCCCACTGCGCCTGCATGGAAAGGCAGAACCACGCTGGTGTAAATCACAGTGGTCATCCCCAAGGCCTGCCCGAGGCCCCCCCTCTGCAGGCAGTGCCCGAGACACTCTGGGAGGCGATGGAGGCACAGAGCCCCCCGCCTCCCTTTCTGAGGTTAGAGATCCCACACCAGACCTGGGTCGCTTGCCCTGTTCTCCAGACTCCAGGGGGCGCAGAGGTAGGCTCTGCCCTGCCCACGGCTGTGAGGGGAAACGGATGAACCCTGGCGCTCTGCCCACCTGAGGACAGGCTGGGGGTGCTCTCCACCCAACCTGGACAACCACGAGGAGCCCAGGGGGAGAGGGAAGAAGCAGCCCGGAGCCAAGGGGGTGCCCAAGCCCCCTCTCCCTGTGTGCTGGGAGCCCCGGGCTGCCGCTTCCCGGGGCCCCTGAGGGTCAGGTCCCAGGAGCCCCCATGGTTGAGGTTATCGGCCCCATCTGTTGTTCTTGCTATTTTCTCCGAGATGGGAAAGGGCTGGACGCAGGAGCCGGTGGGGGGCGCCAGGTTCTCACAGGCAGTGTGTCCCCTGGGCCCAGGGGTCACCCACCTCTCCCTGCACATGGAAGAGTACAGGCCCAACTACATGGGCTTGCGTGTCAGCTAGAGCACATGTCTGGGGGTCCATACAGCATTTTGAGTGTCCCCAGGGCTCGGCACCCCCCCCCCCCCCGCCCCGCTGGGCCAGGAGTTGGCAGGGCGACACTCAGGAGTGCAAACAGGAGGGGGCCACGGAATGGAGCACCACGTGGGTCCTGAGCATGGCCAGGCGGGGTGGCAGGTTCCTCATGAGCCCCCCAGCATGTGTGAGCCCACCCTCTCAGGGACAAGGGCCCTCGTGCTGGGTACCTGGGGAGGGAGGCAGAACTTGGAACGCAGGTATCGGCTATGGCCCCAAACTGACCAGGCTGCGTGGACAAAAGTCACTCGGGAGGGGACACAACTGTGTCCACAATCGAGCATCTAGACGGGGCAGGGCACTTCTGGGGAGAGCAGGGGCATTCTGGAGTCCCAGGGAGGAACATCCGAGAACACCCTGTAAGCCATCCCAGCGGCAAGAGTGCTGGGCCCAGGAGATGGCTGCAGGCCTGCAGGAGCTGGGATGAACCCTACAGCACAGGGACCCCAAGCAGTGCCGGGAACAGCCCCAAACAGTCATAAGGACAAGGACTAGGACCGTGACAAGAAGTCCCGGAGCAACACTGCTGCTGTCACAGTGTCCAAGCCCGAGGGATGAGGTCACCGGCCACTCAGCCAGTAGGAGGCAGAGATCACTGCAGAGAACACCAGTCTGGGACGCGGGGGTGCAGGGCAGTGGGGAGCCCCGGGAGGGGAGGCCTGGCCCCTCTGCCAGCACCTCTGGTCTGCATGGTTTGGGGGACACTGCCCCCGCCCCCTTGCTTCAGCCCAGTCTCTCACCACCCTCAGGCCTGCCGCCACACCCCCACCAGGCTGTTGGGAGCACTGGACCCCTCCCACCCTGGCCCCGGCATTCCACCCATCCCGGGAAGACCTCTGCATGACCCGTTGAAGATTCCCACAGAAACAGCCCCCGCCTCCAGCCACTGACACGGCCTGACTCCCCCAGCATGCGTTCATGCTTCTGCCTAGGGATCTGACTCGCACCGCCAAGGTGTCACTCCACTGGCCGAGTCGTGTCCGGTCGCCTCTGCGGCCTTGGCCCCAGGACAGAACTGACCCGAGATGTGTTGACTTAGGCAAATACACGTGACAGTGGATCCGTGAGCCCCAACCCCCATGACACCAATCACCACCGATTTACTCGGGGTAAATAAAATGATTCCATGGGAAAAAAAAAATGATGCATCAGTTGTTCACGGTTGATCGAGGGCCTACTGGGGCAGGGAACCGGCAAGCCAGATTCAAAGCCAAGTGCTCCATCAGAGACGATGAGACAGGCAGAACTGGCGGGGCCAGGCCAGAGCCCGGGTGAGAGACTATCCCCAGTTTGGTTCAGCACTGGCTGCTGCAGGCCCGTGGCCAACCCTTGTCGCCTGGGTCCCTGGCCACTGCCTCAGTCTGGTGACAGGAGATACCACTGAGGACACGGGAGCAAGTGCACCAGGCCACCAGCCTGTCTTCGGCCCGGCCAGCCCAGCCCAGCGAGGCCAGCAGAGGCAGCCTGAGCGGCCACATCTCCAGCTGCCTGTCCACGCCAGAAGGGCCCCATCGCTCCTCTGCCTCGTGAATGGGCCCCTTTCAGGGGTGAGATCACTTCCCCGGGGCCCTGCGCCCAGCGGGGGGCTGCCGCCTGCCGCCAGCCCCCCCGGGGCTTGGGGAGGGCCTCTTCCTGGGCACTGCTGGAGCCCGCTGACTTTTTCAGCTGACTCTGAGAACATGAACAATGAAAAAGCGGCTGCAAGAGAAGCAGCTCAGAATGCCGTCAGGGGACACACAGACGGAAGGAAAGACGCAGCTGCCAGAGGAAAGGGAAGGGGAGGACGTGGGGGAACTGGCCCGGGCTGACGAGTGCCAACGGCACAGGCTGGGGGCCAGGTGGCCTGCAGCATGCGATCGAACCCCGGCCTCACCCCTCCTCCTCTCGCCTGACATCACCAGGCGGGCACTGAGCCTTGTGCTTCAGCCCCCAGCTCCTAGACGCTGTGGGGGTAGGAGCCGGGCTACTTCCAACGTGGTGTCTGTCACAGACAGTGGCGGGCGGGCGGCAGCGAGTCGGGCTTCCCCCTCGCCACACTGGTCCCCACACTTCCAGCCGGCACCCACCCCAGCAGGCCAGAACCATGGCACCTGCCCACCCACGGCTGCCTTCCTGCACCCCAGGGCCAGCTTGCTGTTCTCATCAACCCCAGCAGCTGGTTCTGGTACTGAAGGGTTCCTGGGCCACAGCCCCGGCATGAGTCCTGACTTCCCCCATCCGGGCTCAGCGAGCCGTGAGCAGGAAGGAGCCTGTAGGGCTCAGAGCCAAGGAGCACCCAGGCCAGCAGCTTCATGAAAATGAAGTGTGGGAGCTGAAGAGACAGCACAGCGG